TCAAATGAAATGTCCTGCAAGGACAGGGAATGTCCTGTCAAACAATACAGGAGACAGAGGGCATAATGCTTAAAGTCACATTTTAAATATATATATATATATATATATTTTTTTTCCTGAGATCTTCTCAGTTACACTATATCTGACTCTTTATGCAAACTTTCTTGTCTCCCCACCCACAGGCCACACACTTACACACCCAGATATCACTTTAGGGAGAAAAGTGGAAGGAAGGATTGGCATCACTCAACGACTGAGTATGTTTTATCTAAGAGAGACTGAATAATAAACAGGTGAGCTAATTGAATAATTTGATGATATATTCACTTATTTCTCCTCTTTAGGTAACAAGATTATGGAGACTTGGGATGTAGGTTGGATTTGTTATTGTCTAAATAGAAGAAATGTCATATTCTCTGCAGATCTGAGGATTAATTTTAGCGGTAAACTACTGTGATCTAGCTATACAAATAATGTGAACTCCTGAAGGACAGTGTGAGTAAGGGGGAAAAATTGTGAAATTAATGGTCAAGGGAAAAAACAGAGAAGTCCAAAGAAGGAATACAATAGCCAAGTAAGTAGAAGAGAACACACAGAATCTGCAGAAGTCAAAATATAAAGAGTAGAATAAACTATTGAAGATAAGAGTGGAGAATACATAAAGGAAAACCATTGAGATGCATGGAGCATTGATCTGGGATGGCCCATCTATGAATTAGATTAAAGGAAAAGGGTAAAAGACTGGGAATGGAAAAATCAAATAATTAAAAGATATATTTTTCCTCATTTAAAGTAGATCACATTTCAAAAATTAAATTTCCAGACAAACTTAATGAGAAATGCTATATAAGACATCTCCTCCTGGAATTTTTAAATGTTAATGACCAAGAAATATAGGAGCTTACAAGGGAAAATCACCCAAAGATATAAGAATTAGATTGGCCTCTAAACTGCCGACATCATTAAACTCTGGAATATATTAAACAACCATCTGCTGAGTTCATAAGAGGAAAAAGTTTCAGCTTCAAAATTCTATCCTAGAAAATATGTTAAATTTAATCATATGAGAAAGAAACTTTGAAACATATAAGGACTCAGAAAATAAAATAACAAATATTTTTTCTAAATAATCCACAGGAATTCAAAAAGGATAATCAATACTGATGACTTTTGTATAAAGTTAGGAAAGGTATGTGTTATAATGTACTGAAAATGAGAAATTTGATAATTAATATCACTGTGATTACTATTTATGAAATCTAGTATTTATTAAGCATCATCCTAAGTTTTTTAATTGTATTAAGGTACTTAATCTATAAATAATTTGTGTAAGGGAAACGATACAATAATTCCTATTTTAGTAGTCTTACTTTACAAAGAATAAAAATTCATTCAATTATGTAAAACATAACGATCTATATTTAGAACAGGTAAAATGTTATGGAATTTCTAAATATGAATACAGGTCCAAACAAATAGTGATATCAAAGCTTATTCTTGAAGGCTAGTTAGAATGGAACTTCATGGAGAAGAAAACCAGTTCAAAATGCTAGAAGAGTGACTTTGTTTTGCTATGACAAACATTAACATTTATCCTCTCATTTTAGCCTTGAATATCTGATCTCTGGAAAAGTAATTTTATAGTATTCTCAAATCTGTTGTTTGCTTTTCATCAGAAAGCATGTATTGCAAGGCCTTAAGCAATTCAGCAAAACCTTGTATCTAAATAAAATATGAAAAAGGGTTAGGGATGTGGCTCAATGGTTTATTGCTCCTGAGTTCAATCTCTAGTACCTAACCAATAAATTAATAAATAAAATAATAATAATAACAACAAAATTAAAACATTTGTTTTAGTAAATTACCAATTTGTTTCTTCCTCATTATTCTTGGCTAAGCATATAAAATGACCTGGTCATTTTGATTATTTGGATTCAGACTCTTTTTTTTTTTTTTTCATTTCTTCTCAGAAATGTGGCACCTCTTACCAGAAACAAGCAGGAGAGGTAATATTAATACAATGCAAAGTCAATGGAAAATCAAAGGCATTCATAAAGTAATATATTGTTTGATGCAATTAGAAGAAAAGAGGCTTATAATGTGTGGTCCTTAATGCAGCATATGTAATAGGGGTCAAAACATTAAGGTTGGCAAGCTATAATGTATAGAGAAGAATTTATAGGAACCTGGCTTGATCTCAGCCTTAAGTCATGATCAGTGTAGACAGAGCAGAATCCAGAAGTTACTTTATAAAGGTGAAGGCAATGTAGTCTAGGCAGAATTAAAAGTGAAGGACATAACACAAGAAGAATAACATTTGGAATCAAGAGATAATCCAGATTGATCTGAAAGTTTAACTTGAAATTCAAAACAATGGGCAGTTCAAAAACCTACATTTGATTGTATTGCAACCTGTAACTAACAGGACACTGAAAGTGGTTTTAATTTCTGTGTTAAAAGCCCCGTTATCTATTCAATGCTCAACAAGAAACCAAGATCTGTAATGAAATAAAAGTGACATCTGAATGAAGGAGGACTATATAATAAAGCATTACAAAAGTGGTAGAGATGAAATTAGGCAAAGCAGGCATCTTTTGCTTCATTAATGTCCTTTGGGCTTGCTTGTAAGAAGTAGTAAATGTTAAATATTCTAAAAAGCCCTGTAAGCTCATCTTACAAGCACTGATTAAAAGAACTGAATACCAAATGTAACCATCAGATTTCCTTTGCATTTATCTGCTCCCAAGAATACTAAGTATTTTCTTATCTCCATCACTCTCAGAAGTTTTCTTGCAATGTGCCTATCTATACATATTCATCACCCTGACAGCAGAATCAAGAATAAAAATTCAGATAAGAAAACATGATGTGCATTCCTTTATCTTTTAAATATGGGACATACATAAAAATAGATATATGAAGACTGCTTCTTAGAATGAACAATGAAAATAAGCAGAGTATAATCTCCATTTTATCCTGATAAAGGTAGAGAAGTGGCACATTCTGATTATTTGGATGTGGTTATTTGTAACTCCTCTTTATTCTCCTAAAGTCAATAATAAAGGGGCCATCTATAAAAACTCCTAGATTTATTGACTTCATGATTATCCATACCACAAAGCACTCAGGCAATGGGAAGATGAATCTAAGCACATAGCATAGTTTTGAAGTCCTAACAGTTTTAGGGCAGACTAGGTAAGCTTGCATTGTACACTTGAAGTGCTCAAAGACAAGGGGCAAGTTCAACATTTGAGTAATTTCTCCAGCAGTGTACTTTTAAAACTCACATTCTCTGAATTACACAGAGAAGAGTGTTTTGCCACTTTGCATTGCTTTATTTTGTCAGGGACTAATAAACCTTTTTTTTGGCAATTTACCTATATTATACCAATCAGTAACATTCCTAAAGTAAGCAAGACATTTTTGCTAAAGTTTTATATTGGTTAATTTGGTATTTTTATTGCAAGATATTTTTTCTATTTTTGCTATTAATTATTTCAATTAACAAAAGGGAATGATTAGTTCTTATTATTTTGAGGTATACAGCACTGTGAAAAAAACAAGCTAAATCAATGAAGGGATTTTTTTTAAAAAAATCACACATATTGCTCTGTACTCTTGAAATTTATACAACCGTTAGTGATAAATCAACTGAAAATAACAGAGGGTATCTTAGAGTATTTTTTAAGGAAACATAACAGTTTACATGAATGCAAATCAGTTAGTTTCATTTAACCTTCAAGTTTATTTTGCAATATTCAATTAGAACTCTGCATTTAAAAGTAAAATTAAAAGATATTCATATCTAATCTTGCCTCCTTCTAAAACCACAGGAGAAACAGCTGAGAAATTCAGTTATTGAAAGAATTCCAAATTCTTCTGCCCAGCTGTTGACTTTTTTGAAAATTCTGATGAGAACTTAAGAACAAAAACATGACTAAAATAATAAATTACAATGCGTGTTCCTAAATTTATTTCTGAAACTAAGACACTACTAGCTTTTCTTGCAAAAAGAAGCTCAACTCCTTAAACTAGATTCTTATTTGTAATTCAAACCCCAGGTCACTCCAATAGGACCTTTAAAAAAAAAATGTTTCCTATCACTCTTCTTTCCTAAAAGCCAGGTCTTAAAGGTTGGCATTTACTTTTCAGATTTCAACACCTCTGCCCTTCTTTCCTCCCTTTAACAAGAACTCTACTCTGGCACAAGAACATAAGCAATAGGAATCTCTTCAGAGAAGAAAAAGCCCCTCAAAATATGTGGTTTGGCATATCAATATGCTTTGTTCTTAAAGCATTCCCCTCAGAATATTCAAAGTAATAAACAATATTTCTATTATCAATTTATATTCTCAGGGAATGACTGAATTTAATTTAATATTAGTCTCTAGTTCATGACTCAGATAAGCAATTACATATAATAATGAAGGAGCTATACATACATGAAAAATTAACAGTTTCATTCTGCATTATGTTCCCCACTTCCATCCATTTTCCAGTAAACCAACAGAAAAATTAAAGCAATAGCATTCTCTCAGACTTTAATATTATGCATACCTTGATTTTAGATTTTATGTTTCTCTTAGAATTGATAAATTCATATTTTCCTGTCTTCTATTACCTATGGCAATAGGATTTGGAAAAATATTCCTATATAAGGTCCTTTTGTTGAAACAATTGCTGTGTCTACATTTCCATATGACTTTTGGAAAAAAAAAAATCTCTGTTGGATAACAAAGAAACTGATGCAAACACTTTCATTTTACTGCAAAGAACTGATACTTGAGAAAACCAGTAAATAGACATCTTTATGTAAGCAGGATTTCAATGACATGAGAATAATTCTGAATAATTGACAACATATAGATGATGGTTGTAAGTTAGATCTCTAAACCAACAATCTACTTATAATTTTCTTCATGAGCATTAGCTCTTGATTATTAAAATGTTAACATGAAGTTTTAAACATTTACTTAAATGTAAAATAAAACACACTATACCTTATTTGTAGATCTTGGGCATACTATTCAGAAACATGACCACGCAAATTCCTGCAAATACAAAGAACTGATTAAGTCAAATTCATTTTCAAATTTGAACTGGAACAATAAATATGTAATTAAGAAAAACTGCTCATACTCTTATATTTCTTCATAATTTCTGGTACTAACATATGAATTAATTATCCCATGATTTCTTAAGATATAAAAAAATATAATACATATGTGTGTGGGTACCATTAAAAAATCACATCATTTTAGAAGCAAATTCTTCCAATTTCACAAAATGTATGCAGATAATGGGCAAAGTATGAAGATATGCATATTGTTTTAAGGCCTGTTGCATCAGAAAAGAGGAAAGTTAGCTTGCTGGCTGCTACCTGCTTCCCAGTCCTGGGGCCACATGAGGCTAAGAGAGCACCTAGTGATTAGCCAGAAGGCATTGCCATGGGTTGTGATGAAGGATGGACCACCTCTAGGCAGAGACAGCTGGTGTTTCCCATTACTGCCTATAGGATGGGTGTAAATATAAATTCTCCCCATCTTGCCAACCTTTACCCTGATTGGCTCCTGTACATTATATTGGCTGTGTGTGTTTTCTCAATAAAAGAGATCCTGCTTTGACTGTTCTCCCTGGTGCATCTGATTGTCCTCCAGGGAGGGAGGGCTGGGTGTGGGTGGCCAGTTGACCTTTACCTTTCTTGGTTCCTCCTGGTCAGGGCGTGCTCCCCCAATCTCTCCCTCTCTCCCGCAGGTCAGGAGGGAAAAGGGGGCTAAAACCCCTGACATATTGTCAGTAAATTTGATAAACTACATTTTTAAATTAAAAGTGATTGACAAATATACTTGGATATATATGATATCTATGCTTGAGTAATAAAATCATTTACAGAAAAATAGCCTTCTTTTTATACATATACTTTGTGTGTGTGTTCATTTATTCAGACATGCAAAATAATATATTTCACATTGCAATCTTTTCACAAAAATTGAAATAAAGTTTGAGTAAAATAATTGATACAGTCATTATTTGTTTAGGATTATTTTTCACATCTTAAAAATCTAACTTGTGTTGGCTTCAGGGTGAGATATCTAAGTTAATATTTGGAAGAAGATAATGAAACTGTTATTTGGAAAAACATTAACATTATGTTTTCTTTATATTTGCCAGATTTCTTTGCAAATCATGCTCTCCTATCTTTAAAATATCAATAATAAACACTATAAGACATTCTAATTCTGAAACTAACCATAGCTTCAGGACAACATGTTCACTTTAAAAAATATTAAAATGGTAAATTAAAAGGGTAGATCAGATGTATTTGTTAACATGACTATAAAAGCAAAAACAAAATCACATATGGTGAAAGAAGGAGACACAGTCACAGAGTCATAGAGGTGGAAGGAAACTTGGTGATCATGGAGTTTGAACCCCATATTTGGAGACTAGAAAATATTCCCCAAAAGACAATGTTTTATTTAAATTCATGCAGCACATTTATAACAGGACTGGAATTATAAGCTATCATAAAAAGAACTACTGTGTTTCAAAAAAAAATTATTATTACATGAAAAGAAATTCAGCTCTATGAAGTTCCTGTAAATAATTCACTTGCTGGATTTAGAATATTTATTTGTGAAAATGAGATGAATATAAAGTGGATCTAAATCATATCCTAATACATTAAGGTGATGCCAAGATGTTGTGATTAAATTATTTGCTCTTAAGACACTTTAAAAGAATTCAACTTCATTTTTAATTTTTTGAACTTTATTCTCCATGTTTGTATTTCTTTTGTAATTTTTCATCAAAGGATTGAAATATTTTCCAAATATATATTTCATTTAAAAATGTACAAATTTCAGAGTTCCTTAAAATTTACTCTTCATCCTTTAATAAAGTTTTCTTTTTAATAAAACAAAGGCATTTAATTAAAGCCTCCCATGACTGTTTCTCAATTTTTAAGTTAGTATTCCTTAACTTTTACCTACATATAAAATGTATCATAAACAAAAAATTAAAACACATGCCCAAAAGGATTTGCTGTAGTTTGCTAATTATTTGACTGTTTTAGATATAGTTATTTAACACATATTTATCAATCACAATATAGCAAGTATACTTGGCATTTTTCATCCCACTTGGAATATATCAGTAAAGAATATCTCAAAAATCTTCCACTCTGTCACTTAAAATGCAGCAGTACCCCGGGGCGGGGGGGGGGGTTGTTTATCAATTAAAAATAAGTAAATTATGTATAATGCTAAAAAATGATTCATTTTAAGGGAGAAAACTTTTTTTTTTTCCTTTTTGGTGATGGAACAGTCTAGAAGTAGGGTGGGATCAACTTGCGATATTGAACAGGGCAAACCAGGGAGAGATTTGAGCAATCTTACATAATCATGATCTATTTTACATAAAAAGCCTATGATAAAAGTTATTAGGTTTTAGTAATTGTTCTAACTTTGTTAGTGATAAATGTTAAACTTTCTAAAATTTCAAAAGGAACGAAGGAATTTCATATCATTATTTTTACATTGAAAATATCCAGGTTCTTTGCATTCTGCAGATTTCTACGGGATTGCCTTTTACATTAAAAGCATTGCTATCATTAAAAAAAAACAAAAAAAACACATCACCAAAATGTATTCTAACTCACTTTACAAAATGTGCACATACAGCAATGACAATGGATGAAACATCAACAGAAAGTTTCTCTATTTTTTAATATTTTTAATTATTTTTAATAATTATTTACATTTAAATAATTGTTGGTTGCACTATTCTATATGAACATAGTACGTAAAGTCACCTAAAATGACTTGCTTTATGTCTCATTCCCAATGTACTATAATTACTGTCAGAAAACATATGAATTTTAGGAAAACCAAGTCGTACTACCTAAAGGCATTTCCCTTTTCTTTATAATTAATGAAATACAATGGTGTTGGTCATCATAATGAAGCCAGAATTAGACAGGCAGTCTGTATAGAGAGACAAATCAAGTCTGGTCAATCAAGGAGGACAATTTGAGTGAGTTCAGGAAGTTGGAGAGGGATTGAAATGCTAATGCCTTTCAGAGTCCTTCCTCCATCCTTATCAGGATAACCTGCCCATGCTCCAACCAGTTGCTAAGGTAAACTGTCCCAGGGATTGTCCCTGCAGGGAGTTGCTAATTACACCCCTTTCCTGCTTAGCTCCTCCAGCCCAGCTGCTTCTTACCTTTAAGAGAAGAACAAAGAAGAACAAAGGAAGCCTAGGACAAATAAAAAAGGCAGAATGCCCTCACTTCTTGGGATACCAGAATACCAGCTATTACCTGCTTCTCCCTCCCAGGAGAAGTCTATGTTACCCCTTTGTAAAGTAACCCTGCTTTATGCTCGCCTCCGTGTTATTCTCTAATGTTATACTTCAACATGTGCGGAAGGAGAACTTATCACCTGTAACCTGCAGTATCAATATCACTTTCTAATTGTTTCTGGAACTAATTATTAAATATACAACACTAGATTTTAGCATCTGCTAAAATATCATTTGTGCTCCTGACCTTGTTATATCAATGACCAAGTAGCCAAGTAGATTAAAAAAATGATCAAAGCATGTGCATTAAGGTTAAAAGATTTTTTAATAATTATTTACATTTAAATTTTATTACAGAGGCTCATCAGCACTGTCTCTATGAAGTGTCTCTAGTACTCTTTCTTTTTTTAAAAAAATATATTTTTTAGATGTTGATGGACCCTTTACTTTATTCATTTATTTATATGTGGTGCTGAGAATCAAACCCACTGCCTCACACATGCTAAGCAAGTGCTCTACCACTGTGCCACAACCCCAGCCCTCTAGTACTATTTCTGAATGTAGATTTTGGTATTAATGAAGGGGTCAGTGGGGGAAGATCAAGATGACTGAATAGAGGTGCTCACCACTCACCTACTCCTCCACAAAGATGAACCAATGCAACTGTGTATAGCTCATTTTGAGGTGAATGATTATGAGAGAACACTGGAAAATAGTAGGAGAAAGATAAAAACCTTTTAAGATTCAGAGACCTGGCATAGAGCATAGAAAGAGAAATGAAATACCATAATATTTTTGGCTCCAGTTTTAGGCTGGAGGAAAAAGAATCTCCTCTTTGCAAGAGTAAAGGTGAGAGAGAATTTCAGCAAACTTTATCAGTGTGGACGCTGGTAACTTTAGCTATTAAAGAATTTCACAATCCTTACAGGCTTGCAGCCTAATTAGAAAAGAAACCTACAATCTGCACAGTAGCCTTATTTTGGAAAAGGACCTCTCACCTCACTTCCCAGAAAACCCCTTAGTGTTCTGTAGTTAGCGCCCATCCTGAAAACGAACCTACTGTCTGAATTTCAACCATTCTGGGGTCAGAAACCTTGAATGTTTCCATTTCTGGAACCTCCATAGACATTTCACTGCTCTGGATCACAAAATAAATAAATAAATAAATAAATAAATAAATAAGGCTCAGTAGAATTACTCTGACTCTAACCTGCTGAATGCAGGTTAGAGGATGTTGAGGATGGGTTTTCTGAGATGGAGGATAATGGAGGGTGCCACTGATGAACTGGGAGGTGGGGGATCCTGTTCTCTGAGCCCAGGAGTGTAGCCAATTGCCAGAACTGAAGACAGTCACCTAATGGTCCCTACCACCCCTCTACCTGGTGCCTTGCTCAGGTACCTATCACTGACAGAGCAGAGGAAAAAACCCTGTGGATTATCTGCTTCCCCACTCCCAGGAGATACTGTAGAGGCTTTGCTCAATGCCATGCTCCTGTCTATTGTACCACCTGTCCATGGTACATAGAGGAATTTTCTGGACAGTAACCATGTTCTGTTCTTGCTTATTCCCACTTGCTCTGAAGGGCAGTTCAGCTAAGGTGTGTGTGTGGGCGGGGGTGGCAGGTGGCCATGACATCTTCCACAGGAGCACCTGACTCAGGGATGGATAGAGAAACCCAGGCACATCTATGTGATTTCTATCATGGGCTGACCTTACAACGTGTCTAATCACTCACTGCTGATGGAACTG